TCACCAGGGAATGGAGAACATATTTAGCAAGTGTTGCTGGGAAAACTGGCTGACCACATGCAAAAGAATGAAACTGTACCCCTACCTATCACCATATACAAAAATCAACTCAAAATGGATCAAAGACCTAAGTGTAAAACCTCAAACTATAAGAATCCTATAAGAAAATATAGGAAACACCCTTATATGCATTGGAGTAGGCAACAAATTATTGACCAAGTCCTGATAAGCAAATGCCATAAAAGCTAAGATAGACATGTGGGACCTCATCAATCTTAAAAACTTAAGCAGAAGAAACCATCAAGAGAGTGGGAGACAACCCACAGAATGGGAAAAAATATTTGCTAATTTTGTATCTGACAAAGGTCTAACATCCTGGATCTACAGGGAACTCAAATGAGCTGAAAGGGATAAAATAAACAACCCCATTAAAAAGTGGGCAAAGGACATGAATACACACTTTTTAAAAATTAATTAATTATTCATTTATTCGTTCATTTGTTTACTTTAAAGATGTAGGGTACAAGTCAGGATTGGGTACATAAGTGCTTTACATGCAAGGTGAAATTTGGGCTTCCCATTGGACCTCACGTCTTCTGGATTAGGAACAGACACTCTTATTGATTTTATATGCCCCCACCTCCCTTCCTCCTCTGGCAGTGTCCCATTACTGCCAATCCCATTCTTGTAGTTTTATGCTAGATGTTCAGGGTCCACTTATGAGTGAGAACATGTGGTACTCAGTTCTTTGTTTCTGTGATAGATCATTGAGTATGACAGACTCTAAATCCATCCAAGTTGCTGTGAAGTCCATAATTTTGTCCTTCTTTATTGCTGCATAATGTTCCATCATGTATATTCACCACATTTTTTTATCCAGTCCACTTTCAATGGGCAGCATGGTTGGTTCCATGTTTTTGCTATTGTGAAAAGTACTGCAATAAATACTTTTAAAAGAAGATATACAAGCAGTTAACAGATGCATGAAAAAATGCTCAACCTCGCTAATCATCATAGAAATGGAAATTAAAACTTCATTGAGATACCACCCAACTCCAGTAAGGATGGTCATCATTAATAAATCAAAAACAACAGATGCAGGTATGGAGAAAAGCAAATGCTTCTACATTGTTGTAAGCTAGCTCAATCCCTATGGAAAGCAGTGTGGCAATTACTAAAAGAACTAGAAATTGACCTTCCACCTGATCCAGCAATCCTTCTCCTGGGACTATAACCAGAGGAATATAAATCATTCTACCAAACAAACACCTGCACATGCATGTTTACTGTCGCACTATTCACAATAGTACAAACATAGAACCTACCATGCTGTCCATCAAAAGTGGACTGGATAAAGAAAATGTGATACATATACTTGATAAAGTACTAAGCAGCCATAAAGAAGAACAAAACAATGGACATCACAGCAAATCAAATGGAGTTGGAGACCATCATATTTATTGATATATCACAGAAACAAAGAACTGAATACCACATGTTCTCACTCATAAGTGAGACCTGAACATTACTCACATTAGATAAGGGAGGGATCAGCAGTCACTAGGCATTGCTACGGGAGGGAGTCAGGGAGGGAGGGGAGGCATGTAACACAAAAGTTACCTTGTCCCAACCAGGAGATGTGAGGGTCAGTTGGAGACCCAAACTTCAACTGCCTGCAGCCTACTTGGGTAGTTAATCCTTACTTGTACCCATATCTCTATAACAATTTTTTAAAAAGACATACAAATAAATGGCCAACAAGTCTATGAGAAAAATTCCCAACATCACCAGTTATCAGGGAAATTCAAATCATACCACAGTGAGATATCATCTCACCCCATTAGTATGGCTATTATCAAAAAAGACAAAAAGTAGCAAACGTTGGCAAGGATGTGGAAAAAGGGAAACTCTTATACTGTTTGTAGGAATGCAAATTAGTATAGCCTTTACGAAAAACAGTAAGGAAGTTCTCCAAAAGGCTAAAAATAGAATTTTCATATGATCCTTCATCCTGCTACTGCGTACATATGCAAAAGAAAGAAAATTAGTATGTCCAAGAGATATCTTCACTTCCATATTTATTACAGCACTATTCACATTAGCCAAAATATGTAATCAAGCTAAGCCGCTATCAACAGACTACTAGATAAAGAAGATGCACTATATATACACAAAGAAAGACTATTCATCCATTAAAAAAAAAAGAATTAAATTCTGTCATTCATGGCAACATGGATGAACTTGAAGGATATTTTGTTAAGTGAAATAAGTCAGGCACAGAAAAATAAATATCACATATTCTGGAAGCAAAAAGAAAAAACAACTTAACAACAACAAGCAGGCAGAGATCCAATCAAAAAGCACAATTTCATTCAAAATAGTCACACACAAAAATGCAATACCTCGGCATCTTCCTAACCAGAGAAGTAAAAAAGACCTTTACAATGAGAACTACAAAACACTGCTCAAAGAAATCCAAGAAGACAGAAACAAAAGGGAAAATAATCCATGCTCATGGATAGGAAGAATCAACATTGTTAAAATGTCCATCCTACCAAAGGCAGTCTACAGATACAATGCAATACCCATTAAATTACCAACATCATTCTTCTCAGACCTGGAAATGACAATAGAGAAATTCATATGGAAACATAAACAACCACGAATAACCAAAACAATCCTTAGCAAACGAAAGAAAGCAGGGGATATAACACTTCCAGACTTCAAACTTTACTATAAGTCTGCAGTAATCAAAACAGCCTGGTATTGGTACAAGAACAGGCATATAGACCAATGGAACAGGACAGAGATTCCAGAAGCAAAGCCTCAATTTCTCAACCAACTCATCTTTGACAAAACCTCCAACAACAACCACTGGGGAGAGGAGAACCTATTTAGTAAATGGTGCTGGGAAAACTGGCTG